TTCATTTCGTCAGTAGAACGGTAAAAATAAGAAATTGGGAGACCATTGTGCAATAATATATGGAAAAGTATATTCATAATGTACATGAATGACATTTGTATATCTTGGATTGCTTCTAGTTTGGCTTATAAAGTGTGTGGCCTCTTATATTTGGATGTTTCTCTGCCATGTTATTTTCAATAAGATTAACTGATGGCTGAAATTCTTCAAATTACAAGACGGTACAGGCTTATTGCACAAAAAAACTAAAAAATCTGAATTATGAATATACTTTTCCATATTGCATAATGGTCTCCCAATTTCTTATTTTTGCCGTTCTACTGACGAAATGAAGCAGTGAAATGGACTCTAAGTTCCTTTGAAATAAATTCTATATTTTAGAAAAGTGAAGTGATAATATACATACTTGTAGCAGACCAATTATTGAATCAAGGGAACAAGTAATCAATAAAAAGACTCCAAAGTTAATAAACTATCTACAGTCTACCAGCAGCTGCTATGTCCCCAAATATAAAAATTTTGATATTTACTTAGCATTTGTAATATCCCCTTTGGTCAAGTTAACATTATTCAAGGCCACTTATGTTACCATAGGGATCTTTTCTGAATAATAAGATGATAACTATTCATGATATGTTTCTAATCAATATTCTAAAAGACCTTGACTTGTCTGCAGTATTTTTTCTTAAGATAGGAACTGATGGTACAAGAGTAGACTGATCAGAATGTGTCACTGTCAGCCCCAGGGGGAGGGTGGGTACTGGTCAAATTTATAGCCTTTAATACCATGTTGAAATGGACCATGGTATACAGGATACTTTTGATTATAACTTTAAAGATTCCAAAGCATTTGGATAAAGAAATGCTGCCTGGGTCATTCATGAAGTATTTTGTTGGTAAATTTATGAATAAAGAAATATAAAATAACCACAGACTCCATGAATTGAGCAGGAAGTGCCAATCTTACTATTTAAAACATTTTTATACAAATAACGTTAAAGAGTATTTTGTCAAATAAAGTATGAAAAGAAAATATTATTGATATTGAATTTGCTCAATATTTCTGTTCAATATACAAACTTCAAAGAATCTTAAGAATTAAGAACCTATGCTTTTGACATTTGATCTCAGTCAGTTTATTGATTGAACACTGAGCAATAAATCAATGACTTTTCAAATGAACTCCATTTCAAAAGCACAAAGCATAACTGGATTAAAACAGGCATGTAGAAAGATATAAGACACACATAAAATCTTTAGTTTTCTCATTTTTGTGCTTTGTTACCAATATATTTAAAAAAATCTAAATTACGAGATGATCCTTGTTTTTCCATTGACCATTTACAATCATTTGCTTGTTCATTTTCTCCATTTTACCAAAGAGTTTCTCTTGTTGTTTTGGCGTTGTTTCTGTTTTTATGTGACAAAAAGTGGTCACAGGATGTTGTGGCTTTTTGTTATCAGCATTGTTGCTTGGTTTTTGGCATATGTAACAAATTGTTACACTTTGGATAACTATTTGTAACAATCTACTGGCCAGTGACATTTTGCCATATATGCTAATGACATACAAAGCACTGCTGATGTTAAATAGAGGTGTCACAGTTTCCCGATATTGGACCGAATTTCGGTCCAGATGCTTCGGTTCGGGACACGGGACAGAAAGGGTTAATATCGGTTCCGTATCGGTTAGGGGTCACACGGTTAACCGTGGCTTGCGGTTACCGCGGTTCATACCTCCATGACGGTTAGCTCGCACACAATCTTGAAAACCGCGGTTCTTGAAGAACCGTGACATTTTCAGTTTCATTCAGAAAAATAAAAATGTAAACTCGGAATTAAACTCCATTTCAAGCTTTCGTGTAATACCAATTAACTAAACATCGTCTGGAATCGTTAATCATCATGCAATAATGCGAACCATACCTGATATTTACGACGATCTTCTGATATAGACGGCAGATAACAAAAACAAAAGGAAAATGTTGATGAATTTCACCGGCATATTGACCCGGAAGTGACCTACGCTAAACATTTCGCGCAATCCTATTGGTTGATAGAACAGTATACTGTAAAAAGCTGAACGCCGAATGCATTGAATTTGCGAACGAGTCTCGTTCTGTGTATTACGTTCGCCTTTGATCCATGTTGAGTCCTGACAAAGTGTTGAACTTAAGTTATATTTCTAAAGAAAACATTTATTCAGTTTAGTGAAGTACTGTGCTAATTTTGCCAACAGTTGACGAGTTATTTTATGTGTTGAAAAAACTTGACATCAAACAAGAAGATCAACACAGTGAACACACAGATATTTTGGGAGGGAGGGAGGGAAAAAAGACTGAACAAACTAACAAACATTGTGTGAAACTGGATACTTACAATACTGAATACAATAAAACACTGTGACACACTTAGTATGTTTTCTGATTTTTGGATCAATTTCATATATTTTTGCTCATTTCACGAGGCCCGTGAGAACCGCAATCAGAACCGAACCGAACTGTGAAATACAATCACCGAACCGAACCGTGAAATCTCAAACCGTGTGACCCCTAGTATCGGTACATAAATTCCTTCCCTAAAATGCATAAAAACGTGTATAAATAGCCAGGAACACTTCCGATTTCGTTCTGAAAAATTAAATATTTTCACTTGTACCTAGATTACACTTCTTTGAAAAGTGTTATTAACGGATCCGCGATTTCAGGTAGATGGTAATGCTTGTTCGCAAATTTCTTCATCGTCGTTCGCAAATCGAGTGCATTATCAGTATGCCGGATGTAGGAAAGAAATTGAAAAATCGAGCCGGCATCTAGTCGAAAAAGTCAGCAGTTTGGATTCTGATATCATAAGGTAAACGAATTGGTGATAGTACACCGTGCAGACTATGGTAAATGCCGATCACATTCGCAGCAGATGCTTTATATTCGATTTTAATTGACGTTTTTTTTATTTCTGAATATGATTTTGAAAAGTGAAACTGAAAGTGAAACTCACAGATGGCAGAATTTTTCTTAGGAAATACACCCTAAATAAATATATATTTTATATAGGATGTATTTCCTTAGAAAAATACTGCCATCTATGGTGAAACTGTCATCATCGGAAATTGCATCATTTTTTTTAATGTTCTGTCCCGTCCCGTCCCGAGAGTACCGTGTTCCGAGACCATTTGTACCGTTCCGTACCGTACCGAAATTTTTTTGGACCGTGACACCTCTAATGTTAAACCATATTAATGCGAACAATATATAGAGCACACATCCTTATTTTTCTGCATGAGAAAAAGTCAAATTCTACGCCAAATTCTGCATGAAATCCCAAATTCCATGATAAATTCTGCAAGCAAAGGCCTCATCTGAACTATCACGAAATTCAAATTTCGTGACATATTAGACGTTATCTTTAAGTTCAAAAGTCTGCAAAAATTTGGAAAACCAAAATTCGGCAATTTTTCTGCAGCGACATGGAATCATAGAATTCTAGTATCTGTGAAAGAGGCTCTGAGGTAATTTCACTTCTTTGAAAGTGAAACTTGACATGAACAAATGCTACAAATGACTGAAATGGGAACAGTAATTAATAGTGTTATTTAACCATTCTGACTTCTTCATTTGATTATTGCGTGATAAAACTATATGGATTTAGTTACATTAATAACAACCAAATAGTAAATTTTTGTTTCGTTGATTAAATTCAATAAGATTATTTTTTGCAAAATTCCTGTTATAAATTCAAATGTTTCTTGGGATTATCATATTTTGTTTTGTATTGGTATAACTTACTTTATGATAACTTTTTCCTGATAACTTTGGATCATTTAATCAGTTAAGTAGATCTGGAAATCATGGCTAATTCACAGAACTCCTTGACTTTCTAAGTTTAATGTTGGTTTCAGCATCCTGATCAGAAGGCATACTAAAATGTTCCTCTTTAAAATACATTGTACTTTCTCATTGGTTGTATTGAATAACATCAGGGAATACCAGAACATGCTCATATTGAAAGCTCCCAACTAAAATCATATTCACCTGGTTGTACTATCTTTAGTTTATATTCACCTGCCTATCCCCATATTTTTTTCTCTGACATTTTTCATTCCATTACTAAAATTACAGATATGAAATTAATGGCTGAAATTAAATATGAGTTCCATACCTTGGCGTAAAACCCATATTCAATCCCTCCTAGTAAATAATGTCTATTAATCTCATATTGTCTATGCGGCTCTCTAATATCATCTTTATTTGTAGTTTACTGAAAATTGCATTACAACATTCATTAGAATATTGAATTATGTTCTTTTAACTTCTTTATTTCAACTTTTGTTTACAAATATAAACCAGACAGATATATGAGCTTATTCATTAATCAACACTGGCATTTACCCTTACAGATTGTTTCACCCAAATTCCTCTCTATCCTCGTCAGTCAATGCTTTTCTCAATGAAAATATTAAGAAATTCTTTTCATGTATGGGAGAATTGTGTTGATATGTCCATATTAAGACCATCCTTCATTTATATTGTGGTTTCTGGTTAAGAGCAAAATGATCAGTTTTGACATTTATCTCCTGAGTGGCATGGCTATTTTTCTGTAACATTAGATATAGACTGACAACAGACTGACTTCAATAATGCACTAGATGACCTGCTTTGACAATGATATATAGTTACTTTAGAAAGATGTGTAGAATAAGGAGATGAAATACAACAATAAAAAACAATATATTCAATTTGTAACCTTGGTTTTCAGCACACCTTTCCATATTGATACTCAGTAGAGGCTGTTCATGTAGGTAGGTCTGCAGAGAAAGCTCTCTATTGAGGGTCTACCCTCTTAGAAAGAGGTGTCATACTTGCATAGAGGCTCTTCTGTCGTTAAGGAGATAGTGAAAAGAATTGAAGCCTGGCCTCACCAAAAAGCAGTATATCAGACAAGACAAAAAGTAAACTTCATCAATATTGATACTAATAATAGTGTTTCTCTTGTGGTTGCAGGTCGAAATTGCTGATGGTGACCTACCTGTAGGGGCTCCAAGGTAAGATAATACAAAGTAGTATATCCTTTCTTTTGCCACAACCACAAGTGGTGACATGAATAATGTACTCTCCAACTTTTTTATGTGTGGTGCTAGTTGGATAGTGTTGCAGCTTGTGTTTGGTGATCAGTGTCTGTAACAAATGGCAGGTCGTGACATTTTGCATGTTATTGCCTTGTTTCTCTTGTGATGCTCCCCATTTATGTGATTCTACAACTTTATTTTGTTTATATTAAATAGAAAATAGTAGGGAACAACATGTGGAATTTTTCTGTTCGTAAATTTATTTCAATTGATTTTTGAATTTAGATTCAGATACAGGGAATTTTCAGGAATGTTTAGTGACTCTTGACTCTCTCAATGTTTTTATCTTTTGTCCATCATCTAATTTCCTCTATTTTTCCAATGACCCTTTTGCTTCCCACGGTTCAGGTCCTTTACACATCGCCTTATGGCATCTATGTTACCACTGTAACACCAAGGTTCCACTGAAACAAAATATACAATAGTTTAACATTTACGAATGACATTATTTTATCAATATTTGATGTGACAACTAAAATGAATAATAATCATATTATCCTGTTTTTGGAAAATTTACTTATTGACTTGGCTTTCATTGACTGACTAAAATGAAAACATGGAGATCATCAGAAATAAGAACTCTGAAGTAGATCTTAACAATTATTGGTTTATGTGTACCTTTTATATCTAATACTTCGGCCCCTTTTAATGTCTGATGTAAATCACCAAATGTTGATTTTGATGAGATATAATCACTTATTTCTTCATTTTTGATTACATTTATTCATCTAAAATATTTCAATTGAAGTCATTCATGGTATTTAAATATAAAGTTAAGTTACCTTTCACTGATGATGGAACTAGTCCTAACAGTTTCTTAGTACATATGGTCAGCTTTCTAATGAAAGCAACACAGCACCAATCCTCAACTAGAATATAATAACATATTGAGAGTATAGATTATCTTACATTGAGGGGTGGCTCAAAATATCACATGTTCATATGGAGATGAAAGTACTTTCATTTGGACCCCCCTAAGTCATTTAAAAACATTGATTTTCAGTGACTGTAAAATGACGTGATTACATTAATTTATTACATTTAGAATTTACACACGCTTCACTTTGACTGCTTTGACCAAAAAGCAGAGAAAAATATTATTTAGTTGACAAATTATCGAATGATCATCTTTATTTACCAATATTTGAGACCTATCCAGAAAAAGGCTATAGAACTATTGAAAACAGACCTTTTTATCTTTGTACATTCATTATTGTTTTCGTCACAGGAGTTGAAGATATTTTATTTTATTTCTTATATTCAAAGTTCTTACATGGTGGTGGTGTTGAATTTGTTGGTTGAGCTGGTGTTGTCGGTGTAATCACATTAGTTGTTTTGGGGAAATTAGTAGATGGTGTCAATGTAACGCTTGCTGTCACTTGTACACTTGTTGTTGGGGTGAGTATAGTCGATGGTGTTGGTCTAACAGTTGTTGTCATTTGTAAACTAGTTGTTGGTATAACAGTTGTCATCCTTGGTAAACTAGTTGTTGGTATAACGGTCGTCATTGATAAACTAGTTGTTGGAATAATGGTTGTCGTCATTGGTAAACTAGTTGTTGGTATAATGGTTGTCGTCATTGGTAGACTAGTTGTTGGTATAATGGTCGTCGTCATTGGTAAACTAGTTGTTGGAATAATGGTTGTCGTCATTGGTAAACTAGTTGTTGGTATAATGGTCGTCGTCATTGGTAAACTAGTTGTTGGTATTATGGTCGTCGTCATTGGTAAACTAGTTGTTGGTATAATGGTCGTTGTCATTGGTAAACTAGTTGTTGGTATAATGGTTGTCGTCATTGGTAAACTAGTTGTTGGAATAATGGTTGTCGTCATTGGTAAACTAGTTGTTGGTATAATGGTCGTCGTCATTGGTAAACTAGTTGTTGGTATTATGGTCGTCGTCATTGGTAAACTAGTTGTTGGTATAATGGTCGTTGTCATTGGTAAACTAGTTGTTGGTATAATGGTTGTCGTCATTGGTAAACTAGTTGTTGGTATAATGGTTGTCGTCATTGGTAAACTAGTTGTTGGTATAATGGTTGTCGTCATTGGTAAACTAGTTGTTGGTATAATGGTTGTCGTCATTGGTAAACTAGTTGTTGGTATAATGGTCGTCATTGGTAAACTAGTTGTTGGTATAATGGTCGTCGTCATTGGTAAACTAGTTGTTGGTATAATGGTCGTCGTCATTGGTAAACTAGTTGTTGGTATAATGGTTGTCGTCATTGGTAAACTAGTTGTTGGTATAATGGTCGTCGTCATTGGTAAACTAGTTGTTGGTATAATGGTTGTTGTCATTGGTAAACTAGTTGTTGGTATAATGGTTGTCGTCATTGGTAAACTAGTTGTTGGTATAATGGTCGTCGTCATTGGTAAACTAGTTGTTGGTATAATGGTTGTCGTCATTGGTAAACTAGTTGTTGGTATAACAGGCACTCTAGCTGCAACTTCTGTTGTTTGTTTTATATATGAAAGTAAAGTAATTTTAGAATGTTAAAAGAAAATTTTGATTTGATTAAAAAACAAACATTTCATTTTAAGCTGGTGTTTTCAAAATGGCCATTCCAACAGTTTCTTTAGCATTACAGGCATAGGAGAAAACACCAGTTGTCATATTTTAGATGCTTTTTAGATATTTTAAAACTATTTTATAACCAAAAATATGAATGGAAAGCAGTGAAATATGAAATCAGTATCCATTGGCTGTTAAGTAATACAAATCTAATAAATATTCAGACATAGACTCCTTTAATAAGATATAAGCTAAAATGGTAAAAGTAGATTCCACATTTATCTCGAAGATTAAACATTATAAAACCTATTTCCTTTGAATATGATGTGAAATGTTTGAAGATATGTATGACAAAGAATGAATTCAAACAGATTTTGAAATTGAGAACATTTATTTTATTTAGTGTTACTTGTTATTATCCCATCAAACGAAGTTCGGAGGGATATAGGGAACGCCTCCGTCCGTCTGTACGTACGTCCGTCCGTACGTACGTCCGTCCGTACGTACGTACGTCCGTCCGTACGTACGTCCGTCCGTCCGTCCGGGCAATAACTCAAATACCGTTGGACCGATTTTGTTCATATTTTGTACACATATACCCTATGGGGGTAGAAGTTCTGCTCGAAAGCCGATTTTCAAAATGGCCGCTCATTTCAAAATGGCGGCCACTTTAGTGACGATTTTACAGTAATTTAGGTGCAATATGTAAAACTGTAATAGCAATATGTTTTAAATGTAAAAAAATTATAAAGGACATTAATAATGCTACAAATGTAGATATTAAAGAAGCACATGGCAGCCATCTTGAAAAATGGCGGCCTTTACTCGTCATTTTACGATTTTGGCTGTAACTCAAAAAATAGTGGAGCGATTTTGATCATATTTGGTATGTGAATACTATAAGCATTGCACACTGTCTAAAGACACTTTTGGTAGAAGGCGGCCATTTTGAAAAATGGCCGCCATTTAAAAAAATGGCCGCCATTTTAACGCATTTTACTATAACTCGAAAAGTAGTGGAGCAATTTTGTTCATATTTGGTATGTGAATACTATAAGCATGGCACACTGTCCTATGACAATTTTGGTAGAAAATGGCCACCATTTTAACGCATTTTACTATAACTCGAAAAGTAGTGGAGCGATTTTGTTCATATTTGGTATGTGAATACTATAAGCATGGCACACTGTCCTATGACACTTTTGGTAGAAGGTGGCCATTTTGAAAAGAATTTTGAAAAATGGCCGCCATTTTAAAATATTTTACTATAACTCGAAAAGTAGTGGAGCGATTTTGTTCATATTTGGTATGTGAATACTATAAGCATGGCACACTGTCCTATGACACTTTTGGTAGAAGGTGGCCATTTTGAAAAGAATTTTGAAAAATGGCCGCCATTTTAAAATATTTTACTATAACTCGAAAAGTAGTGGAGCGATTTTGTTCATATTTGGTATGTGAATACTATAAGCATGGCACACTGTCTATTTTTAATGACGCTTTTGGTAGAAGGTGGCCATTTTGAAAAATGGCCACCATTTTAACGTATTTTACTATAACTCAAAAAGTAGTGTAGCGATTTTGTTCATATTTGACATGTGAATACTTTAAGCCTGGCACATTGTCTAATAAAACTTTGGGGAGTAGTCCGCCATTTTGAAAAATGGCCACCATTTTTATGTGTGTTATTTTACAAGTACGTGTGCGATTTTTCAAAAATTTTAGAGGTGGCTAATTAAAAGCATATTATTTCTTCTGATGACAACTTGGCTTGTGAGCAACCATTTTGAAAATGGTGGCCTTTCTGGTGTGTTGTTTTATGATATTTGCGCTTCGTTTGTAAAAATGCCAGCTATTTCTGTTCGATGGGATTCGCTACGCTTTGGCGTTGCCGTTGTTCTGGTTTTTAGTGTTTGTACTGGGGAAGTATACTTATAAATATAAGAATTTTATTTAAATCTCATTATTCATATAATATTAAAGTTCATACAGACATAAAAAAACATTATTATATTGAAAATGAATAATATTAGAAATGTATAATACGATAGTGTTGTAAACAGTCACACCAAAATTGCTTAGAAAAAAACAAATGTGAGATGATGTTCAAAAACACTTACCTCTGTTAATACTGGATTGCACCAGTAACCATACTAAGAGCAACATTTTGCCTGATCCGTCCATCAAATGTTCAATATTTGGCAGTTTTCTTTCAGTTCTAGTTTTTCAAGGAACTCACTTACCTACTGACTTACCTACCTTAGTCAGTGGTATATATACTCTATAACCTAATTATTGCAGGTGATATTTTGTTATTATCATCTTGTTGTTGGTTGGACTTAATTTCAATTTATTCCTAAATATTCTTAATATCAGTGAATAACCTCAAAATTGCTTTAATATGATGATTATTTGGAATATCCCATGAATTAAGTGTGATTTCAGTTATATTTTGAAACATTACATAAAGTTGATGGTAGAAGAATTAAAAATGCTCTCGTAAATAAAGATAATTTTATTCTCTGAATGCATGCTCTAGAAATATAGGTCACCCTACTATTTTTGGAGAGAAGTGTAAAAAATAATAAATAGAGATGAATATTAAAGATCGCTTAATATTTAAATAATTTCAGTTATTTGAATTCATTGGTACATCTGGTTTTTCCATTATTATGATGATAATGATTGAAGTTGTTTTGTTCATATATACACATGTGTCACTGTCAGGCCATGTAGGGACATATCTAGGTGGGTACACCCTCCCATCCTTTGGCCCTGATGCTATTAGAATATTAGATTTTTCACCAGTGTCAATGTTACTAAATGTTGGAGTTTCAAAATATCACTTGTTAGTTTCAAAATAACCTCATAGCCAAAAAATATTTAAATATAATGAGTGGTGGTATTAGTATAATATTTTTGAATTAGTTGAGCTTTGGAATACTTAGGTCAAGATAATTCTATATATCCTGTACCATGAAGCTCAGCCTTGTCATGAATATATCCAGTATCAACATTACATGTTAAGAATCAGGTCTGATTCGTCAACTTATTCACTTATTGACTTATATAATGTGATCTTATTCATTGCTGAGGCCATTCTCTCTTCCCCTCCCTCTCAGTTATTTGATATAAAAACTTAAACACCTGACATTTTATTTATCAACACATACATGTATTCTTATGTACATGTTAATATACATGTATGTATGATCTCATTATAAAAAGTTAATCATTTTAAAGTCTTTCCAGTTTTAAACTGGATCTTCTGCTGTCCAGAGATTGTTCATAAATTACTTCTATGTGTAGGTGTGGCTACCAGGCTTGGATTTCTATGGCCCACTTGACCAGGGAGAGACCCTCTATTAGGTAAAAGGTCTCTGATGAAGTCATGCTTTAAATAATAAGGAAAATATGAAGAAAACTTTCATTCGCTAGATATTAGTAATGCAATGTTGTACAGAAGGTCTATATTATGACAAAACACAAAAAGTTAACTTAACATCATCATTAATTGATGATAGGCTGGAATTGAAATTGCTCGTGTTTAATTTTAAGCATGGGTTATAACTTCAATAATATGATATCAAGATATTATATGGTACAATCAGGTATAGTTTTGAGTTTGACCTCATATGTCAGAACTCCTTAAAATGGCTACAGTTCTACTGTTTAAAAATAACTGAATGAAGGCAGACAGAAATATTCCATCTTTACCCCCTGATATTTTTCCATGAGTTTTTCAATAGCTCTTTGTCTGTTTACCCAACATCTGGATGTTGGTGGTTGATTTGTTGATTTTAACTTAATATAAGGATGTACCTATCTTCACCAAATATCTATTTTTGCTCTTAGAATACTTAACAAAAACCACAGTGAAAAGCATGGGTCTCTTATCTCGACACAAGAGATGATGCCTAATCTTCAATATTGCAAGTTGAAGTTTACTTTTCTGTGGAATATTTGAGGGAAACAATTTGAAGCGATATCCCTTTATATGCACAAATACAGCAATTTCGTGACAGTGTCTAAGATGTTTTACTTTGATGTCTTGACATTCAAGTTGAGGTATTGCTTTTTATTGTTAGTTCCAGTACTGATTGAGGTTTGCACATGTATTTTTCCTTCGTTTGTGTTTTCAGAATGGCAAACATTGACTTACACTTTACATTTCTGACTCATGTCTGTCAATTGTTGAAGTTGCCTTTCCAGGGATTGAGATTAACTTGAAGCATGAAATCAACCACTTTCCCTTAGATCTACTCCATTCAAAACCTCTGTTCAAAATCTCATTCTCATTTTTCGAAATTTACATCTTCCGAAATAAGATGTCCAGTAACTTGGATTTCTATATAGATAAGAGCATGTGCTTATATCTGCTTCATTTATTCCTTGTAAATTTCCCTGTTTTTCACTCTTTTCATCTCAAAAGATCAGACTGTAATGATGTTTTATTTATTGATTGACTTCAGTGTTATTCATAGAGAGAACAAGTGCCAGAAAAATGTTGATTTTAAACATGAGTGGGGCAACATATGCTTATTCAATTTTTGCTGGCACTGCGCAATTGTAAAAATATTGACCATTTTGGCTGGGAGGTATGTCTATTGTGTCTATTGTATTTCCCGCTATTCTTGGATTAATGAAAATGATTTGCACTGTTTGTCAAGTGACCAAGTTGAAATATTGGAATAGTTGTGCTGTGTAAGTATTTGATCTTATGGGTTGTTTACATAACAGGATAGACCCCTTTATGTTATAATTTACGATTTTATCTGAAATATAAACGCTAAAATTCTGAATTTCACTTGACCCATAGGTCATGTGACCACTTCCTTGAATACTTCCTAAGTACTCTCATCCCTATGAAATTTCCTAAGTAGAGATTTTGGTATGTTTCTTATCTTAGTTAAAATGTTAATTGACCTTTTCATGTAGCCATAAGTAACCTCACTCTCATATCAGTGAATCTTGGAGTACCTCTA